TGTAGCGGACACACAGACCCTCCTCCCCGCCTCCCTCGGCCAGGCCGGGGGCGCGCGCGCGCGACCGCCCGCAGCAGGCTCCCCCTCTCCGGACTCCGAGGCCCCGCACGGCACCCCCACCCGGGCCCGGAGGATGATGAAGCTCAAGTCGAACCAGACCCGCACCTACGACGGCGACGGCTACAAGAAGCGGGCCGCGTGCCTGTGCTTCCGCAGCGAGAGCGAGGAGGAGGTGAGGCGCCGGGGCGGGGGGCCGGGGGAGTGCGGGGTGCGGCCCCGAGGGCTTCCGACTGGACTTCCCGAAGGGAAAAGGCGCGGGCAGCGGAGGGGACGCGGGCCTGCGGCAGGGGGATGGCCCTCTGCGGCCCGGGCGTCGGGGGTTCGGCCGCCGTTCCCCCGGGCAGCAGCTCTGACCCAGGAAGGGCGGCCCGGAGCCTGGCAGCCCGGCACACGTGCACGAGGCGCAGGCCGGCCTTTGTGGCGGAGCCCAGGGCCGCCGCGGCGGGTTTGGGGCCGGCCGAGGCGTCGTGGCTGCCGGCGAGCCCGGGCAGGGGCGGCAAGACCCAGGGCAAGATCCTGGGCGCTGTGCACAAGCCAGAGCCAGCCGTTTGGTTCTAACGTTGAGCTGAGGAGGCCGTATGGTGGAGCCCGAAAAGAAAGGAGGACGCTGGATACACTTTTGTATCTGTGTGGACCGAAAAATTTCACAACCATCAGAAGCTGTATTTATTAAGATCTTTATCGCGACACTTTTCTGTTGTGCCCTATGGGATAGCCTGTAGGATTTGCTAGGAAAATAGAAAATTTTAGAATCTGTTTCTTTTTGCTTAAGAAACTTAAAAAAAAAAAATCTCAGCTTCACAAAGCCGTTTCTGTGGTGATGAAGGGAATTCAGAAAAGGCGCATGTTTTGTAAACCCACAAAGAATAGCTGCTTTGGAAATTCATAAGATGCCTGTGAGAACACATTTCTGTCGTGTGCATGGTGGCAAAATGGCAGTTAGCTTGTTAACAATGAAGGACAGTGAAATTGAATATGTTTTATTCCGGCCGTCAGCGGTGGGCTGAGGTGGCAAGGCGACATCGTGTTGAAATGGGAGGGAAAGGAACTTGACCCGTTAGTTTTGAAAAGCTGAAACAGACAGATGGATTGCCAGGAGTCACTGTCCGGAGATATTTAGGAGGAGGAGGAGAAGGGAATTTAAATTACGGCCTGAAGAAAATCAGTGAAAGCGTTCATTGTCGAGTTGAGGGATTGCCTGTGATATGTTTTCAGCAAACCAGTTCAGAAGTGTATAGTTTGTTACTTTGCTTTTATTACAAAGGTCCTCAAAAGAGATGCTTTGTATGCGGAATCGTGTTGTAAAGGATGAGCGTGTTTTAGAATACATTCTTATCTTAAGTAAGGTAAAACTGTCATTGGTGATGACCGCTGTGGAGGCTTTGTTCTCTCCGTTATCACATGGGAAGTCAGATGGGGTCTGGGACTGCTAACTGGAGGGACAGCTAATTAGCATAATAACACACCTTACTGTGGTTAAGTCTGCACCCCAGTTATAGTAGAAGGTTGTGTAATGTAGTCACATGAATGCAGCAAGACTTTCTGTTTTAAAAAGATCGTCTGAGAGGTTGAGAAAACGTGAGTGTTTTGGATAGATCCTGAAAACCTAAGATCCTAAGCTAAGGAACAACCAAGTTTGCCCTTTGTGGTTAAACGTTTGGTGGTGGACTGATGGCAGCTTTGATGTCCATGCTTCTTTGAGTGTTTTGGCCACCTGTGCCCTTCCTTGTGGGGGTCAGACCCGGCATAGGACTTGATTTTTAGGAGCTTGAAACTCTAAAATCAAAAGAAGAATCAAAGCATTTGCTTAATGGTGGAGTTTCCTTCATTGAATCTCTTTTTGCGCGTTGGTTAATGAGCAGAACAATCCTGTTAATCATGAATTATTGATTCAGTGGGTACTGTAGTCATAGTTTGGTGAGAACAATAATGTTAATGGACACAGGCCGGTGTTAAGAGACTCTGGTAGGTGGGATTTACAGATCAACACTCGGTGAGAGTGTACAGATCCGTCTCTGCCCAGAGGGATTTTTGATAGTCTCTTAGTTCGGAGGGATTTTAGACCACACAGTAATCTCTAGGGTACTGTTTAACTCTCACATTATATAATTGTGTTGGAAGGGAAGTGATTTGTTAGTTCCAGGGAAACTTTTATGTTCTCAGTAGATGTGCCAGAGGCTGGAATTGTTAGCTGCCACCATTGTGGGGAAAGTGAAAATTCACACCTAGGAGGGCATTCAGCCCAATTTCATTTTTTTAAATTGGCACTAATGGCTTTAATCAAAAGAGAATTGTTTACAGAATATTAGCACAATGCAACACTAATGTAAGTGTAAACAGGACCTTGATTTTTAAATTTGATTAGCCAGTGTCAAGAAACATACATACGATGGGGAGAAAGAGATTAAAACATTAAAAAATAATTTGACCAAAAACCCCTCAGCCCCAGGAAGCTCCAGTTACAGGCCCAGCAAGGAGAGCAGCAGAAAGGGGTCCGGGTCAGGATGGGAGTGTACTTAGAGTTATTGAGCGTTGGTGAAGGTGAAGTTCTCTCTGCGGTGATGGGAGAGGTCGCTAGGAGTGAGCACAGAGCTGAGTGGAGAAACAGAAACCTACCCAACAGCACCGTGCTGGTGAGCTCCTTCTGCCAGCTCTGGCTGCTTTTCTGGTTGATAAATTGAAATTAACAGGGGGAAAAGTCCCCTGCTTGTGGGCACGACTGGCTATTGCTGGCATTTCTGTGAATGGGTAGTTGATAAGCGGACATAAGTTGTTGTGATGCTGTGCCATGGGGTTCCCGGCCCTGGGCTCCCTGAGCTTGAAGTGTGTGCTCATGAAGACTCTCTCGGTTGTTCTTAGTCCTGTGTTGGTGTAGGTTTGTCGTTCTTGTTATTGTGGAACTTAATTCAGTATGGAGCTCTGGTTCCAAAAGGATTGCTATGTATATGTGTGCGGGAGGGAGAGAAGCCTTTCAAATGCTCCAGAAAGACTGCAAATGCGTGTCATGGAAGAAGTCATTGCTTAGTTATGCGCACAGGCCAACTGGAAAGGGCTGAACAGCTACTGACTGTAGGACTTTGCACATAGCTACCTCCCGGTGCTTTCAGATTCTTATCCTATTTAGAGGCAAGACCTGGACTAGGTCAGTCATTATGTGGGTGGCATAGGAGACAAGTCAGCTTGTAGTTCCATACTTCTTTTTGTTTGGTTTGGTTTGAGACACATTGGAGCCGAGGCTGGCCTTGAACTCCTGTTCTTCCTGCCTCTACTTCTTAAGTGCTGGGAACACATGCCCAGCTGAAATACTTAAGATTTCTTCCCCTCCTCCTCCTCCTCTTTCTCCTCCTCCCCCTTCAGTGCTGAGGATCGAACCCAGAACCTCCTGTGTGCTATGCGAGCGCTCTACCATTAAGTCACATCCACAACTCAGTTCTGTTTTTATACGGAAATCTTGTCTTTCCAAAGATTAGTAAATAAATATACTTTCATGGTTTCTGAATGAATTGGGTAATGCAGTCACTTGACTCTTAGAGCCATCCCGAGAGATAGCTCTTCCTCACTCTTCTCTTTTGGAGCCGTGGTAGGGGAGGATTTGTTTGTGCTCTATACCCTTAGTAGGAGGGCTGAGGAGTGTGGTGCTGGCTTTTCAAACAGTTGACATCTCTCGGAATAAACAGTGATGGACACAAACCTGTGAGAAGGTCAGTTATGCTGAGTTGACACCAGGTGACATTCTAGTGCTTGGGAGAGTCAGGGCAGCCGGCACCTGAAGGTCTGCATTAGCCCAGTGAATCTTCATGTTGTTGTTGTTTTGTTTTTCTTTTTTTTTTTTTTTAAAAAAAAATAGTTTATTTTTATTTCAGGTGCTTGCCTGTTTTGCCTACATGTATGTGTGTGAAGGTGTCACATCTCCTGAAACTGGAGTTATAGGCAGTTATGAGCTGCCATGTGGGTGCTGGGAATTGAACCTGGGTCCTCTGGAAGAGCAGCCAGTGCTCTAAACCGCCAAACCATCTCTCCAGCCCCCTTGTTTTGTTTTTCAAGACAAGGTTTCTCTGAATAGCCCTGACCTTCCTGGAACTCACTCTGTAGACCAGGCTGGCCTCGAACTCAGAGATTCACCTGCCTCTGCCTCCCCAATGCTGTATTTAAAGGTGTGCACCACCACTGCCCGGCACAGCCCAGTAAGTCTTAATAGTGAGTCAGTTAGATTTCCCTCCGTGTGTTTAATGTGTGTGTGTTGTAAGTGTGAATGTATGTGAGCATGGGGACCTGTGTCTGCCATGACTCTCTGTAGAGGCCGAAGGACAAGTATCAATCCTTATTTTCACCTTTTTGAGGCATGTTTCTTTGATGCTAAGCAAGCCAGGCTAGCTGGTCTCCACCTCCTGTCTGACTGCAGGGGTGCTAGGATTGCAGATGTGTGCCACCCCATCTGGCTTTATGTGAGTTTGGGGGGTGGCTAGCACCCCAAGTGCGTTACCCACCCCATCTCCCCAGCCCTGCCTATTTCTTCAAAGACAGGTTACCACCTGAGGGCTTTCTGCGGTGAGGTGTTAGCTTTGCCTGGCAGATTGCTGTTTGTGTTTTCTCAGATCCTTGAGCTCACCAAGTCGATGGGGAGTGGACTGACTCTGGAGATCCTCCGTGGGTAGAGGGACTCTGGTGGCCTGAGTGTTTGTCTCTGAAATTCCTCAGGGATATAGGTAGAAGGACGTCACTGCAGACCACACCCTCCAGCAAGCTCAGGAGAGGGCAGGAAAGCACCGGTGCAGTCTCTCTCCGGTGGGCCGTAACCCTGGCAGAGGGCTTCAGCGGATCGCAGGCTGCTGGAGAGCCTTGTGCTGGGGGCTTGGCTGTGGTCCAGCATTACTTTGTTCTAAGGTTACACTGGGGCATTTCTGCTCTTCATCTCTCTAAACTGGTTATGGTGGCTTTTATCTAATTTCCCTCCTTCCCAGGCTGGGGCTTTGGTCTGATCTATGGTCATACTGCACCTCCTTTCTTGTTTTGTTTTTTAATTTCTTCTCACATCTCAACTATGTTGTCTAACTCACTTCGTAGGCCAGGATGGTTTTGAACTCTGATTTCTCCTTCCTTGTTCAGCCTCCCAAGTACTGGGATTATAGACACTTACCCCCACAACCAGCTGCCCTTCTGTTCCCCTTAAAA